TGTATTCCGTTCTGCAGGATCGGCTGAAGTACACGAAATTTAGTTGAGTGAGTCAAAGCGCAAAATTTAATCATTTGTGTAACCATCCCCGGAGTATGGTTCTGGCTTTGGCGCGGTTTAAGTCTTACGTTGCACTTTGAAGTTGTTTTCCATTATTCGTTCTTTCTTCGTCTGCTCCCTTAACTTCTTCGTCAAAGAATCGTCACATACTTTACGACCGAACGATACAAGGACGCGGCTGGGGGTGTGGATGAGTGGTGGTGCACTTCGAAAAACTGCACTTTTGAGGGGCATAGCCATAGTGAAGAGTGCTGTCAACAGCGATACAGATCCATCTGACCTCGATTCGCACCACAAAGATTGTTGTCGATTCAAACGGTCCCTCTCGTCTATGTTACAGTCCTCCCTCGGTGCTTGTTAGGAACGGATTGAGTGGATGTTCTCTTAAAAATCGAATTTCCGCGCGATACTGTTGAAGAAAAGCGAACCCGATGTAAACCAGCAAAATACAGTTGCCCACTTGGAAGTTGTTAGTGTTTTCTCGAACCTCAGCAGGTTGGCGTTAAGTCGTTGACTCAATTTTGAACTCCATGTTCAATTTTATTGTTCAGTTTCCATGATCATTTACTTGAATTTGGCAATAAAAATGCCGCCTTTGGAAAATTGGTGAGTTCACAACGACGGATCTCCTACATTCCAATCGGTCGTCTGGCGTGAGCTTCGAAATCTACCGTTCATCTTGAGGAAGAGCTGTTACCTCCTCGTGTTACCTTCTAGGTGCAGCAGTAGACTTCCTCATCGTGACCTCCTACAAACTTCGCTCTCAAGTCTCTCTTTTATACAAACTTCCGGCTCTCAATCCGCTTTCTCTTCTTACCCATGCCAAACATGTAACAGAACCTTGCATTTTTACACAGAATGATCACGGGAAGTGAAAATTCTACCGCATCAGAACACTGGAATCACGATTGATGGAGTGGTCCTCTTCCTGTGCCAGAAAGCTGCGCCATAGCATATGCCGTATCCCCACTTAGTTTGGCATGAAGTGTTTAGAAGTGAAGCGCAGTACAGCCCATGCGAATTCCCATGGTATGTTGCTTTTCCAAACCTCGTAATTCATGGTCTCCCCCTCCCCTGACCCTTGGTATGTAAACTGACAAACATCGAAACTCATTTTTTCCAGCGGATTTTTGATTATTCTAATTGTATTGTCATGGAAACAAGCTCGTACTTGATCGTCATTTGTGAAAAGGACCAAATGCTATAGAAGGACGCTATCTGCCTTTGTATTATAAAATATTGCTTTCAACGCTCTGTGAAGACAGCATTGATATCGCAGCAATTTTCACTTTTCAACGGATTTTTTTGCAAATGTTCCTCCCTCCGCAGTGCCTGGTGCGAAATTTTTATAAAAGCACAAAACGATGCTTTTTAGCTGTGCTGCAGTGAAAAAGTTGCGGTTTTGACGAAAAAACGGTGGCAGTAAGCCTGTTTCGAAATAGTTCAGAAAGAACGCTGTCGTTGTTTTCACAAAATAATATACTCTACGTACTAATTGTTATAACCCAAAACTGTACTCGTTTTTTATGAAATTGAACTGATTCAACAACTTTAAGTAAATGTCGTCAATTCTGCTCCAGAGCTCACGGCTGATAGTTATCTTCGCATAAACAGCTCGTTAGCTCCAGGCACTTTATACTGTAATAGTGGAAGAAGAACGACTCATTCACAACTATTGAAAAGCCCCGTTTACTTTCTATGCAGTGAAGAAATGTGGTGGGAAATGAATTCTGTAGAGTTGAATGAGATCACACAATAACATTGTTTTTGTACAATGACTACAAATTTGATTGGATGCATGTGAGCGCTGTGTGAGTGCGTTTGAAAATATGGCAATGTTTGTGCCTGATCTTCGTTCAGTAAATTATATTGCAAATGCTACCCTGTGTGAGGTCTAATGATGTAGAGCTTGTATTCCAGAGAATACAGAGTGTCCGTTTTTTCTTGCGATTTTGATTTGATCTGGATTTTGTTTTTAAAAAATGACTGCTTCTCTCAGCTGTTATTAGTGTGTTGGTACTGCATGTCGTAAGTGAAAATGGTAAGAACTCGTGGATCTTTACTCAGCTAATTTGCTCTTGCCTTCTTCCCTGCCATTTTATTCTATTCGAAATTGAAAATTATTTCATTGATTGACATAATATACTGAGCCAGATCTGTTCTTAAAGTTTGGCTGACTACACAAGTAGGTCCCACATATGTTACGATCTAAGGTTCAACCATGGTGAATTTTCCAAAACTCGGCGTGTTTTTAAAGAATACGCAAAAGGAGAACACCGATGCATCAAACTATTCAAAAAATCTCATCGCAGTCTTGAAGAAATCTTTACAGTACTTATAGGAATCCTGCATATATATATTAAATATATATTTTATATATATATTGTAATTGATATGTCGCAACATACATTCTCTACACTCTTTGTCTCGAAAGGAATTGTTTGACGCAGATTCCAATCCTCACGACACTTGATAACAACTCGCCGACTACCCTCAGCCCTAGAATCGTTCACACTAATAAATTAGGAACTTCTTGAATTTAGTTTCTATTGCTCCCCATGAAGACAACCTTCCCACAGAGTCTTAGAACAACATTCGGATCAACAACTATTCTTTCTCTCTGGGTGAGCTTTTAGTGAAATAGGACGTGAGTTGTCGCAACACTTAAGCGAAGTTACATCGAAGGGAGCCAGAGTTTGTACAGCCGAAGATCACGAAATTCATCTACAACAAAGTGCTACTCAGTATTTCTCCTAGAACTCTCAACGTGTTTAGTGGTCATCCACAGGGCCTTATAATGATTGAAGCCTTGAGACACAGTCAAGTAGTTGGAAAACTTTTGCCTCAAATGCCTGATTAGTTGTACAAACTAACAAGGAGCTTTTAGGTATGCATTTAGTAAATATTGTGGCAATTTGAATCTGCACCTTGTTGAACAATCTCGCATCTGCTCGAGCTGGGCTTTCCTTTTTGTGTTGAAATTCGCCTGCTGCCGATATCCCTTTCAAACATGGACGTCCAAGAGCTAGAAAAACGAGTCTTCGCATGCAGCCCAACTCCATTCCTGCCACCTACCATCAGTGTTTCTTCCTTGTACCGCGATCAAACTTGAGCTCTCTAGGTGCCCGGAAACAGGACTTACAAATTGCCGGTCGCGCTTTTTTACACCTACGCCGACAAACCGACAGATCCGCTTTATATATAGCAAGATGATAGCTAATTGGTTAGCAGTAGTTTCTAGAATCAGTTCTTCCGCCTTAAGGGAGTTTTTCATAGACTTATTGTAGTTGTTTCATACTGTAATTAATATTAATAAAACCCTTGCCAAGATTCAAGATAAAATGTTACGTCTACGGTGAAACCCACTACTAATCATCAAAGTTTGTTATTCTAGGCAATCAATATTCAGCAAATTCACAAACGTCCTCCTAAAATGTGTATATCTATGTGTATTTTTTGATTTTCCCTCAGGGATCGTTAAAGAAATTAAATTGCATGATTGACTTGCAAACCTCGCCCCTTCTTATTTAGCTTTGGATGATTTTCATAGTTGAGTGATTAGAGAGATGGCTAGCGTGTCAACAATCTTTTCTCAGTCTCCAATATTGGGCTCAGGTAGATTTATTAACCTTCTTCTGGTCTAGAAAATTATGGCGAGAGTTACAAGCTTTGACATTAAAATTTTGACCACGTTCAACTTCCCATATGTAAGAGTCATACATCTAGTTCTAGCTTCTTCTGGTTTACTGCTTGTTATAAGAGTCGGTGGTCTCCGGTGTTTGTCGGCCAATTTGTCAATCCTCTCACTCTCGGGTTTAATTTTTTGGTGGGGTCCGTGCGAAGAATCACCCTCGCTAAATCCCCCGAGGAAAGTGAAGCCGTCCATGTCTGCGCCACTGTGGTGGCCACTTTCAGTTTTTCAGTGCTAAGTTTAGCATAGAGAAATATTGGGTTGTTCGGAAATTTCCCGCCGACTTTGGAGTCATATCTGAGTGAAAATTTCTAGATGAAGAAATCCTTTCATCAATCAATATATCCTCGATTTTGTTCAGTAATAGTTCGCCATCTTCGTGTGAGTTTTATTATCCTACTTTCGTAGAAGGTTTTGGTCTTAGGATCGAAAAACTCTTTTGGGTGCTTTTTACAGTCCCTCAGCATATTGAACGATTCTCCATCCAAAGAGTTCTGAGAGCAGACAGCAAAAACAACATGGTAATCTGATGGTGCTATGTTCGGAGTGGCCAAAAATGCGTAGACCACGCATTTTTGGCCACTCCTCAAAAATTGCTGGAGCTAAGATTGGATGTTCTACCAGGCACCCCATTTAGACTGGAACAGGTCTCTTGTTTTCTTCTACGGCCGCACTACCTGGGCCTGTCGTACTTCTGGGGTGCGGGAGATTTTCATCGGTTTTCGCGTTACGAATTTGCACTTTTCATACGATTTTCGATGCACTTGGTGTTCAGGGGATGAGCGAGCGTTGAATATGTTTTGATTCATTGCAAACGAAATGCGTAAGCAACTTAGGTGGCCACCAGAACGAGAACTAACGACAAATGGAGAGCAACTTCTCAAATAAACTAGGGTAATGTACAAGAGCTGTAATGCTTGTGAGAATGACGTTGTCATTAGAGAACTTAATGTAGAAGAGATTACTACGGGCTACGATTTTTCTTCACGGAATCTCAAATGTTTGGTCTGATTTGCATTCAGCACTGCGATTTGAGGAAATGCATATTGGAATGACACTTTTTCAATCGTAATACTATCGGGGAATTATTAACTTCGTTTTAGCGTACAACAACTAGATGTGGTTTTCATATGTTTGAGCTCTTTGCGCTTTGGACGATTGACGTTTAAACTTTCTAAACCGAGGAACTCCTGCTCCTATGCATGATAAGCTCATCTAACGAATTCTATGTTTTAGCTGTCTATCGTTCCTAAGCTAGGTTCGGACAGTCGCTACGAGTCGTCTCTCTACCGAAAGTAGGACAGCTAACACTATGTGCTTTTTTTGCATAATAGTGCTTTAAACAGTGAAGCACTGAATTCGATGGAAATGTTATTAAAAATTGCAATGCGATAAGATCACTCACCTGAATGAGAAGCGGCCAAAGGAAGCACGGCCGAGGTCGAGAAACAAAAGCAAATGGCAACGAGGCCGTCAGCGATATGATATGTGTCACACACCACACAAGCCTTCCAAATCCGCCGTCCAAATATTCGGCTATACAACCACGAATTCCCCACAGTGAATGAAATAGGCCGATGTCGAATATTACTGCGTCAGCCGCTTCCAATGGCAGTGCGCCCTCCAGAAAATCGCAGCGAAGAATCTAAAGACTTGTTGTATCAAGCGGTATCAGGTTGTAATGGGATTGAAAATGGTTTCTTCTGCACTTTGCCTCAATTTGATAGCTATCGATTGTGCAATGCGTGATCCCCATTTCGTCGGAAATATCGGGAAGTACTTACTTTTTTTTTACCCATGACTGCTTTAAGAGTTTTTCACCTTTTTGCTTTTTTCTTCTCTGAGGCCCTCAATATGGGGGAAAATGAAATTGCTTCAGAGTCCAAGCTCTTGATGCTGTGGGCAACCAACTTCTGCTAAACGTGCATCCTGCTTTCCTTATCACTCAAGCGCATAGCGTCTTCAAGTATATAATTTTACAAAGAGAACACAGATCAGTAATCAGCAGCTTCCGCGTCACTGATTTCCAGTCAGTCTCAAGGATTGAGTGGGCATTTTGGCGTTAACTATCTTTAATCATATGACATGAAGTTGCTGTGCTTCCATGCCCAATGGCTTAAACAAAGAAGAAAGTCATGTGATAGCTAGACGATTGGTGACTACGTGTGGAACAATGCTGCATTAAGACTTGTCGAAAAAAGCATCCACGTTTGCCACGTAGCGCGAGAAATGATAGTGTAGGGTAAACACTCCTTGCATCTCTTATATGTTTGCAATGAACTCAATTATGTAAAAGTTACAACAATAGGTCGACTTGCTTATGGCATGAAGTGGTCCCGAGCTATCATTTTTTATTTGGTGCCTGCTAACTGCTTCGATCGTTGCCCCTTCTCTCCTACGACGGACAAGGAGATTTCGTTTAAAGCGCGGACACCAATCTGAAAAGTTAAAAGTCATAAATTTTGGAGGCTGTACGCCCATTAACATCTCTTCGACTTTAAATTGAGAGAGCACAAAAAAGATGGCCGGGAACTTTTGTTCTTTTTTTTTTTGACATGTCACGTTTACCCCATGGTTAACCACCTCCCGCTCGTCACGACCGGCATATGGTTCAAAAACTAGATATAGATGGGTTGTTCACATTTCGTACGTGGTGTCTTTAAACAGAGGCAATGAGCCGATGTTTGAAATCGACAATGTTTGATGTATGACTTAGGTCATTCGGGTTAACGCTTCCCGCCGCAAACGTCAATGCTGAGTAACGGAAACAAATTGGTTTGAAATGCTCAGCCTTAAAAAGCTAACTTTAGCAGCCTTGATTACCTTTTGATAATGAATGAACGAATGGCAATGCTGGGCGACACCCCAAATACAAACAAGCGCCTGCACTATACCGATCCACAGGCAAATCTGAGAGTTGAGAAAGCGGTGTCCGATTAATTTCGTCCACTCGTCTCGCACTGTCACCAGGCCCATATATTAGGGTTAGAGGTGAGCGGGTCGCCGAAAAGTAGCGATTGCTGAACGAAGGTGGATGGAGATGGACTAGCACGAAGACGAGAAAAAGCTGCTCAGCGTTGGCCTTCTGAGTAAGGGCTGAATTTTCGGCAGTGGTTGTGGCTCAATGCGCGGCTCGCCTCCGCCTCACGTCTTCCGCTGGAAATCTTCCAGCACTTTTACTCGCGTATCTTTCATCTACGGCTGTCGTTAACTCCCCAGAGACAATAGAATTTATCTTATCACACATTCGCACACAGCGCGCATATATGGTGATTTAGACGGGCAACGAACACAATGGATAAATGCAAACATTTCCATCAAGAAAAAGGAAAATGTGGAAACGCGTAAAATCGATAAAAGAAAAAAAAAAGATCGACGAATTGAGACTCATATTATTAACAATTGTGTGTGGTGCAGAGCAAAATCGGTCAGAATCGATGACATCGGCAGGCGGGAGACTGCGCTGTTGCTTTCAGACTTCTAAAATTTAGGCTTCCTATGCCAATAGAGGTAACAACCTCAAGATCCCAATAGCTTTACATTTCGATAAATTCCGATCGGAAATCGCGATTGGCCTATGCTGGCAAAACTGATTTTTTTCCGGGTTCCGTTTGGATTATTGAGCGCAAGCAAAAATGTTCGTTTCATCAACTGGAAATTTGCAGAAATGCGAAATGCACACAAAATGTCGTAGATTGAAAACCCATCATAAGTAGATGTTCGAGAATCGGAATAGAACGCGTCCCTTTCGTTGAAGAGAAGCAGGCAAGCCCTGTAATTGTCTTTTACGGATCTATCAAGATATCGCACAAAATTAGGTTCTCCAATACCCCAGTTTCTAACACTCGCATTTACGCTCAAAATAATGACTATCCTCGGGAATTCACAAGAAACTGGTGCTGAAGTTAAGTCCTCGTGAGCTGGCCCCGTCATCGAATCTCACCCAAATTATATGTACATATTGTATGATGACTTTCGATCAATTCACTCCATCGGCTCCGTCTTCAGCAGTGTGGTTGAGGGGTGAATTTGATCGTAGGTCATCGAAAGCAGATTCTGTTCGGTAGTTGTGTCGAGCTGTTGCTGTTCTGTGTTACACAGCTCATTGAGCACTGGCAGTTGTTTGTTGAGCATTTGAAGACTGGGAGTGATCAGCGACAGGTTGGAATGCATCGTTGTCGGGAGCAGTTGCGACGCCAACGAGGCCATTGTAAGCTGGTTGGCTCCCGTGGCAGTCGCAACCGGAGATGTAGCTTGTGCTTCGTCGCTGGCACCGCCGCCGCCACCTCCACCGCTGAAGGGTGCAGCAAAATTTTGACTGGCTGCCAACAGATGTGACGCTAAGGTCGCTATAGGTAGCGCTTGAGAATACGGCGTATCCGTTGAAGAAGAATCAGCGGAACTGGCAGCAGCGGCGGCAGCCAGTTGCGGAAAGGCGATACCCAGTCGGGCGGCTAATGCCATAACATCCAGCGGACGCGTCTCGACATCTGCCTGATCCATCGTCTCCGCTTCTTCCATGATGGGTGACGGAGTCGAGCCAACACCAGAGCTCTGGAAATGAGGGCAGTTTATGTAGATGAATTTAACATTCATCAAGTAATGCTTAATTTCTATTTATTGCCTTGTTATCGCCACTTGAAATCGCTTAGTCATTACCTCGGCATAATAAGTCGGCAAGACTGGCAGAGTAAGAGCAAGTGAAAATAGATAATAATCTCTCACCACGAAGTGATTATTGATTGGTTACTTAAGGTTAGTGACTCGTTCAATTCAGCCATAGCCCTATGGAATGGTATCTAAGCCAAAAAGACGATCAGCCGTCGCTCTACTATAGTGTAAATCTTCGAAGATTAATCGCTAAGACTTTTTCTAGAGTAACAACACAATTATAATGGAAAGTTGCTAGCTCACCGTCGCCTCCTCATTTCCAATATGAGCCGGCGTATGTGGTTGACTACTCGGAGCTGTACCAGCGACGGTGGCGGCTTGTTCGTTGGCTTCCTGAGAACGTCGTCGCAGTTCTTTTCGCTTGTTGGCAAACCAGTTAGCAACCACCTGAGGTGAGACAACCTCCTTGGGCATTAGAGCGACCCCTGAAAAAGGAGAACAATGTTGGATTTATTCGTGAGTGCAGCTGTGCAGCACTGATGATCAGAAATAGAGCTTACGGAAAGAATTACGTATAATCAAGAACTCCATATCACATTATTGGAAGGACATCGTACGCATGGATTTCAAGCAATGGGAACTGAATCCAGTAGAGGTAGACTAAGACACGCAAACATTCAAAAATTAAGCAGGGATTTGGAAAAAAGAACTGTTGAACATAGCTTAGGAATATCTAAAGTAGCTGACTAACCCACTAACACATCCTTAGCTTGCTAAAGATAGATGTCCCACCATGCCCCATTCCGAAACTACATCTTTCTCAACAGACAACCCTACTACGAAATAAACTATAAAAGTACACTTGCGAACCAGTCGATGATAATATAGACAGCACAATAGTACTATGTTGCCATCAATAATTCACTTAGCTATTGACTACTAGGCGAATAATCGAACAAAGCATCAACAAAAACTAGCAAGTGATTGGCGTATTGCCGGGACAGGAGGGTGTTCAACGTAAGTATACGAAATTAGGCTGGCCGTGATCCTAGGGAGGCAACTACAGTATCCATATATTGCCGTACCTCGTTTCTCGATTTGTAGCACTTGGTTACAGGCTGTTGCAATCTCTACTCGTTTGTTGAGATCTGGAAATGGTGACTGAGTGAAGAATCCCTCCAGAATCTTAATCAGAATTGGTCGGAAGACGTATCGTTCCCTTCGTTGCGGGACCAACTCGCCGTCCCCATTTGTTTCCAGTCTTGTCGCTGGATCAGCAAAGAATACTGCTAAAATGAATAACTGCAGGTTCATGATCGAATTTAATGGAAAGAGTGAAAGCTGGATATAAAGCATGTGCGTTCAGTCATCCACCTTGCAATAGCACTACTAACTTCAATGTAAAACGATTATGAACTTGTAGCGATAGTCACTTCTTAAACTAGGTTTTGCGTATTCCAATCTCCTAATCCAAAATCGTCTCCGTAGTTTTGTATAATTTTATATATATATATATATATATTATATAATTATATCCTACTACACATAACGTGCTAAATGTGTCTGTTGCATTGTCTGTGTGTTTGTGTTTGTGTGTGTGCGTGTGAGTTTGACCTGAAATTCGTAACTCCGGTTCCTGTGGACCTGGAGAGTTCAAATTCAGTAGGATTATAGGCGGCAGGATGGGAACACATATGGTGGATGGCAGGATCAGAATGCGCCCACAATGGGCATGGTTTGAACGAAAATTCATAACTACTGTTCCCGTGCAGTTGAAGCGTTCAAATTTGGTAGAAGCACAAGAGGCAAGATGGGAACACTGTTGATAGGTGGTAGGTCTAGACTCCTACAAGAGGCGGGGCTCGCTCGAAAAATGTCAAATTGGATCTAAAGCGCTAAAATTTGGAAGGAGTGCAAGAGGCAAGATGGGAACATTGATGATAGGTGGTAGGACCAGATCTCGCCCACAGTGGGCGGGGTTGCTCGAAAATGTCAGATTGGACATAGGGCACCAAAATTTGGTACGTGTACAGGAGGCAAGATGGGAGCAGTGATGGTAGGTGATAGGACTAGCATGCCCTCTGTCAGGTTTCGTGCTCCGAAATGTATCAAATGTCCCCCATTAACACGGGTATAGGCCCGAAGTCTGTTCTCGAACTCCCTGCATGTGTACGTAGGTACTTTTTCTCCATTTTTTTCCCAGCCGTTCAGTGTTGATTCCGAGGGCATCTGACTAGAACGGAAAACTCAGCAGGTTTCCCTTATACTGAGGGATCATACGGAGGTTTCAAGTGGGTTAAGATCTGGAGAGCAAGACGGGCATTACTCTGTTAAAGTCGGGTTGCTGGCGTCCGCACCACTCTTCGACGAATTTTTCTCAATGCTTGAAAACGTCCATCAGTGTGCTCTTCAAATACATGTCATTGCCCGTGACTCTATAATCATCATCTGCTGTTCTTATAACAACTTTCGCTAGAGATTGCACTTTTGATGTTTCTACTCAGAACGCGATCGCTTTATTTGTTGAGGGTTGCCTTACTCGTCAGAGGAAACGATGCAGAGTTGCATGTTTTCACTTGAGTGAATAAACACCTGCATTGTTTGACCTGAGGCAAACTTGTTTACAAACAAAACTTTGTCGGGGATCAAACGTTATTGTAGTCTTTGTTCTAGACGACAAAATACCCAAGGATGAAGGACATAAACCCTCTATCCTTATCCAGTAGGTGTTTCCAGTGTACGAGGAAAAAACTTGGCTCATTCACACATGAAGGGAGAGCATTTTGATATGCGCTACCGTAGTCGCTCTTGTTTAACTTGTGTAAGAATTCTGTTTTCAAGGAAATCTTTAGCAGAACAGGATTAGACTGCCAGGCAACGTTCAAAACTTACTTGTATTGACATCGCAAACTACTTCGGAAGCTGATTATCGTATAGTCATAGATGTTCAATCTAGTTATTGCAAAGTATAATTACATTAACAACACCTCCATTGTTACAAGAATATGTGGTTACGACCTACACGAACTTAATTTAGTTGTGATGCAGTTGAAGAAAAAATACGAAGAAAGCTAATTTTAAATTCTCAAGGTTCGTTTCGTCTATCGTCATCGCTCATTGATTTTGGCGCTATATGAATAAGGTCCTCGCGTGCAGTTGCATTGCGGCTGCTTTATTACTTTAGAGAGCGTGAATAGTGTGCGAGTCTTTAGCATGAGTTACTTGTGCTGCGCGCACAGCTCCTGATTTGGACTTATCTATCAAAGGGGTTGCATATAAGTAATTCTGAGAAAATTTTTCATAATAGTGATTAGAAAAATTGTAATAAAAAGGTTATAAATTCGAAGCAGATTGTTGGTGAAGCTCAAATGTTCAGAGCTGATTAGTTCGAATTGCGTCGACATCTGACTTCTATCCGTAGCTTCATTCAAGGAATGAATTCGGAGAGGACTTGAATGGATGACCTATAAAATAACTGGCACGACCAACCAAGTTCATAAGTTGCAATTCACAAGTGCTTTTTCTTTTTACTGCTTGATAAATCAGCTACATAGTGATATGATGATCATTAACCGCTGATGATTTGGATTGAGCTGAATGATTGAGGCTGAGTTCCTATTTGTATACGGAGGAAGTGGGATGCGGCAGCCTCAGCCGCCGCATCCCACTTCCTCCACTTTCTTTGCTTTAGGTATCTCAACTATGATGTATGAATCCTAGACTGATTTACGGTTGTGCACTTGCTCGATTATATTACTAATTGCTTTCAAAAAAAAAAGCTCTAGTCCATAACAAGGGCAAGTGAAAGTTCCTTCGGTATGGGTGACCTATTCGGAACACGTCACGCATCTATTTACTATAAATATCATAAAGTACTCAGGTATTGTATATATTGGGCTAATTTGATGCATATGAGTTCCCTTCACTGTTCATATCAGTATTTCTCTTAGTTCCATCGTGTTTCCGAGGTTAGTCAGTTATTTCTTGATGGGATGAGGCTTCTCGCGGAAACTGAAATGTCCTAGAACGACTTTTTGTTTTGTTAGGTGATATCAAACAATAATGAAACAAAATTAGTGCCTTTTAAACGGTAGGCAAACCCCTCAAAGTCTCGTTCCATGTGGTCTAGCTTGATCCCAGTTCACCACGCCTTCGATGGCGTTAAATATGTAGATTCCCCTATTCTGATTGCGAAGTTTTTTGAACATATCCATAAAGTAAACGCACATGGTGTGAAATAGCAGTGGAATCGGTCCCTTACCATTCGTTTTCTTCTCTATGTTCTTCGTACGGCGGTGAACATTGCTTTCGTTAAAATACACCCCTATATATGCGAAGTGGCACATACCCGCATACATCACCTATCAAATCCAGTCAGCAGACCGTTCAATCACTCATCCTGTAGTCATATGAGCGCACTTTGATAACACGTAATCGTCAGCCGCACTACAAATTTATACCCTGCATAACATATGCATACTTCTGTGCCATGTACTTGTTATGAGTGCCATTTCATGTGGTCATTTTTTCCCTGTAATAAACGTCTAATGAAAGGCATTCTAGGACATTTAGGGGACACAGGTACCCAAATTTACGTAAGCGAGCTGTCAAATAAATGGTAACTAGTAATATTGGTGAATCAGAACTTATGCATTGAAGGAATGAGCGCTTTCAACAGAATAACTACACTTGAGAACACCACGTACGTTTCACCCTTGCAATAATGAGCTACGTCATAGTAAAGGGGGCGTGACGGAATGACGCTTGTACGTACAAAAAAGTCTTGTTTCATGGCAATTCAACAAAATATATTTTGTGAGAGTGTTCGAAAGGTCAGGACACCGTTAGAGCGCTTATGCAGTTCTGGTCGTGAATTGAAGCTTATAACATCTTGATCGATTTCAATATTTAACAGAGAGCGCGTGAATGACTGTCATCCGCAGCATATTTAAGGATTTCCGCTGATAACATATTGGTGTAACTAGTGAGTTGTCATACATTCTTAGTAGTAAACAGTGAAAATAGAATTTTTTCATAAGATCAAATTCGAGAACTTCATTGATTTTACGTCAAGTATTCAAAAGTACCCGTCAGTGTTGGCGTGCTATTAGCTACTTCAATATACTTATGTATTTACTTACTTATTTTTATACGTAGCGTACTTTATCAAATTAGCACAAGAATATTTCCCTCACAGAAATTTGAGAAGGTCACTTCTCAAGGGACAGGATTTGTCTAGCAGAAATGCCTGCCTTGGTTTTTGTTACGTGAGCTTGTTTCTTTTCCTCTAATCGCCTAACACAATGATTTCCAAGGCATATTTCTTTCATCAGTGGCCTCATAGTCGATGTAGGGCTCAATATAATAGTCTATAACTATAATAGGATTCAATGAGATAATGTAATACTCTTTGAGCGTTTGAAATATTATTTCAAAGCCTGTCTTCATAAATAGAAGGTCATAGAAAGAGCATATGTATGATGGCAGCTGTGGAAAAGTGAAGGAAAATTCTCCCTGCTCAGGAGGCTGCTTTGATCACGTCTCACGTAATCGGCATGCATTTGAATACGATTAAACATAGTTAGAACTGGTATTTTGCAATAAAAGCGGCGAAACAGAGCAAAAGTCGGTTATGGGCTAACGTGGCGCAGTGATAAGAGCTCTGCGCCATCTGCTCTAATTCGATTCCTGCTCTGACTGAATGTATTTTTTTGTCAAATATGACTAATCGACCCGTCGGATAGGAATGGAGCTTGCAGTCTCGAATTGCTTCTGCTCGGACCAGTGTCTAGTAGTTTTTTAGTGGCTATAAAAGAACTAGCTGTACATAACTCATTTAACTCATTATGATGTCCATAGCTCTCTCCTATTCGTTATCCCGGCATTCCCTCATAACTCTATGGTTTTCTGTTCATTTCAACCACAGTGTTATTAATCGTTGCCCAGCCGCTATTCCTCATAGTACATCTATAAATCTGGAATAACCGCTGTTTTTTCACAATCTGCACACGGCTGTCGCTTTCCTAACGGACGAATACATTTTTAATCTTCTGTATAAAGTCCTTATCAGTTGTCGTTCGAATTTCGCACTCATTTCATGAAGAACATCTGTATTTCATCTCTGTATGCGCTTTGCACTATAGTGGATCCCTTGGCATAATCGCTCAAACGTCTCTGAATCCATTTGAATTGAATACATGGATTTGAGGAAACTTTTTACTTCATTCCTATGATCAGGTCGGATTCAGATATGTAGGATGTACACGTGGTTAAACTAAGTAAGAAAGTT